CCCCATCTTAAAAAAAAAAAAAAGAAAAACCTAGGCTATTCCATATTCCAGGAGCCAAAGAGCACCTTTTCTTAACTCAGTCATGTCAAGACATTTAATTATATTATGAATACATAGAAAGTAACAGTATATAAACCAATGTAGGTATGACACTTGTAGCACTATGATTTTGTTTATAGGAATAATTAGTTCTACACCGCTAACCTTGGGGTAAAGAAATACATGTTTCACATAATCCCCCAAACTGTAAATAAAACATAAAAAAAAAGTCCTGTTCCTTAATTAGACAAGCATTTTCTAAGCTGTGTCTCTCCTTCCTATCAGCATCCATGTTTTTTTCCCATCTCACCAGAAAGTAAGTACCTACATTGATGTCCTTCTCTTCTCATTCATTTCCCCCATCCCTTTATCCTGAAAGAGCATTTTTGTCGTGCTTTTTCCTCTCATTCTACAGCAGAACTTTAATAATACTTAATTTCTTCCTATTTCTATTGGTATTTTCTGAAGGTAAACTGCCAATTTGTTTTTTATTTTAAAAATATTTTAATGACCTGTTACAATTAGGATTTCTCATACTGTAAAATTTAAAATCTATTTTCTGGCCAGGCACAGTGGCTCATGCTTACACGGGACCCAGCCCCTTGGGAGGCCGAGGTGGGCAGATCACCTAAGGTTAGAAGTTCAAGACCAGCTTGGCCAACATGGTGAGACCCCATCTCTACTAAAAAGACAAAAATTAGGGCATGGTGGCATACGCCTGTCATCCCAGCTACTCAGGAGATTGAGGCGGGAAAATCACTTGGACCCAGGAGGCAGAGGTAGCAGTGAGCCAAAACCGCACCACTGCACTCTGGCCTGGGCGACAGAGTAAGACTCAATCTCAAATTAATTAATTAATTAAAATAAAATCTACTTTTTTTTATAATACCACCTATTCCTTGCTCTTCTCACAGTCAAATTCCTTACCGAGTCTCTAATCATTTCACAACAGGAACCAACATTACACTGCTCCTCATTCATAGTCTCCTCTCCAGCCCTCTCAACCTTCCATTTTGTCACACTACTCAAGTCACAATGAAATCATGGCACTGAGATTTCCTGAATCATTGAAATAATATAAAAGTTTTAACCATCGGCTTAATACTTTATTGCAGATGTGTATTTATTCTCATCTCTTCCTTCACCTCTATCCTGTCCCCATCATTTCAAATATGTCTTGAAGGCTGGGTGTGGTAGATCACACTTGTAATCCCAACACTTTGGGAGGCTGAGGTGGGCAGCACCTAAGGTCAAGGGTTCGAGACCAGCCTGGCCAAAATGGCAAAACCCCACTTCTACTAAAAATACAAAAATTAGCCAGGTGTGGTGGTGGTGGGTACCTGTAATCCCAGCTACTTGGGAGGCTGAGGCAGGAGAATCGCTTGAGCCTGGGAGGCAGGGGTTGCAGTGAGCCAAGATTGTGCCACTGCACTTCAGCCTGGATTACAGAGGGAGATTTCATGTAAAAAATTAAAATAAGCCTTGAAAACCCTTCCCTACCCCTATGTTTTATGTTCCCTTAGCTAAGTTTTCCCTTAAGTTATTTTCTGTGCATTGAAATAATATTATCCTTGACACCTCATCACTTCTTCCTATAGTAAAGATTTATAATCTAAACTCTTTACTCAAAAATCTTGTCTAATTAATTCTTACCTATTTTCCATTTGACTACATTATCCCTTACATCTTTTCTTTCCTGCTAACAGTTTGTTTTAAATAACTGAAGTACACTTTGCTACATGGATTATAGTTAGTCAGTCTCTCCTAGTTGGAATATAAACTTCCTAAAGGCAGGAAGTAACCATTTCTTTATTACACACTCCAAAAATCTGGTTTATATCATGTATCTCAACATTCAAATGTCATATGAAGAGATGCAATGAAAAGAATACTGAGCTGGACATGGTGGCTTATGCCTGTAATCTCAGCACTTTGGGAGGCCTACATAGGCCCAGAGGTTCGAGACCAGCCTGGGCAATGTAGCAAAACCCCTTTTCTACAAAAAACACAAAAATCAGCCAAGCATGGTGGCACGTGCTTGCAGTCCCAGCTACTTGGGAGGCCAAGGTAGGAGGCTCACCTGAGCATGGGAAGCAGAAGTTGCAGTGGGCTGAGATGGAACCACTGCACTCCAGCCTGAGTGACATAGCAAGACCCTCCCTCAAAAAAAAAAAAAAAAAAAAAGGAACAGAACATTGGGCCTCGCAATATAAGGCCTGAGTTCAACCAATGCTTCTAATGTATCATGCTAAGTAAGTCACAACATCTTTGGGCCTCAGCAAAATGAGAATACTTGCTGTATTTACTTCACAGCTAATAAGACATTAGAGGGAAAAAAGTGTTAGCTAAGCTATAACCGTCAGTCAGTACAAGTGTAAAGATGTATTATTGTTAGTCATAGCTATCTTGCCTAAAATTAGCCACTAGTGTTTTTTAGCCAAACTCAATGCATAGCAAATTCACTGTGTCAACATTGAACATTATTTAGTCACATCAATAATGTAACTGTTATATTGTAAGACTAACAGAAAGCCTTATGTTTAACAGTAAGCATGTTAACACTATCTTAACGCAATCTCAAGGTTAAAAGATAAATACTTGCTGCTAAGCCAACAATAACTGCCTTCAAATCTGTTAAAAGAGGGTTTATAAATCCTATTTGGTTTGTACCCAAATAGCAACATTTAAAATTTTAAGAAATCCAAGAAGGAGTTTAAAATTGTATAAATTTACTTTTAGCTTCCTAAAATGTCCATATGCACTCTTTCATTGTGTTTTGAATCCATCATGTTAGAAAAACAGACTGCAGGTGGGGCACAGTAGCTCATGCCTGTAATCCCAGCACTTTGGGAGGCCAAGATAGGAGGATCGCTTGAGGCCAGGTGTTCAAGACCAGCCTGGTCAACATAGTGAGACACCATGTCTATTTTAAAAAGAAAGAAAGAAGGAAAGAAAGAAAGAAGGAAAGAATGAACATACTGCAGAAAAAAAAATACAAAGTATACATAAATGAACAAAATAAAGATAACAAAAATATGATTTGGTTTATACTATGTATCTAAACACTCAAATGCCATATGTAGACATGCAATGAAAAGAATACGGGGCTGGACATGGTGGCTTATGACTGTAATCTCAGCACTTTGGGAGGCCAAGGCAGGCCCAGGGGTTTGAGACTACAGAGGCAGAGAAAACAAATAAGTTTCTTCTAGTCTCAACCAAAATCCTATGAACAACCTTAAAGATACTTACAGCAATATTTCCAAGTATGACTATAATTCTCATCAAAAGGGTATCATATGCAAATACCATCAAAATGATTACTAATTGTAAATTACCAGTAATAAATTTCTCATAGGAGTTCCTTTTCTTTTTATAAGCAGGGAACCAAGATAGAATAGCCTCTAGATTTTTTTTTTTTTTTTTTTTATCAATAGAATGTGCTGCCTTGCACATTTTTGAGACAGTGTCTCACTCTGTCACCCAGGCTGGAGTGCAATGGTGATCATAGCTCACTGCAGCCTCAAACTCCTGGGCTCAAGAGATCCTCCTGCCTTGATCCTCCAAAGCACTGGACTACAGGCATGCACTGCCGCACCCAGCCTCTAGGTCTATACTGTCCAATATGGTAGTTGCTAGTTACATGCAGCTATTAAGTGCCTGAAATGTGACTGTTCCAAATTGAGATGTATCAAGCGTAAAATATGCACCAGATTTAAAAGATTTAGGGGAAAAAATAATGTAAAATCTCCTACCTATGTGACTCCCATTTGTGGCTCACATATTTCTAATGTACAGCACTGCTTTATATATATAGTTGAATCTTGAATAAGGAAAATGGATATCAGAAGTATTAAGCAGTTTGCTCAACACCTCACTGCTTGACAGAAGCAGAACAGGGCCTAAACCTGATCACTTTAATCCATCCCACCCTTATGAATAGACAGAATTAATCTTTTAAGACTCAACTTGAGCATTACCTTCTTTCTCAAACCCACTCATTCCCTTTCTATATCCCAGCCCAGGTGACCACATCCTTTTTAGCCTGCCCTTATAATTATACTATTATAAAATGTGTGTTTGTCTTCCATGTGGATGAGAACTTTTTGACAGCAAGCACTGTCTCATTCATTTTTCTTATCCCTGGGAAGCTCTGCAGTGCCAGGCACCCCTGCAGGCCCTCTGGCACTCGCAGAGTTTTGAGTGTTAATTTTTAGTCCTATGCATGTACAACTACTCAAATGAAATCACCTATGTGATGCACCACCCAAAAACATTCACCTTTATCATTTACCTGTCTTAAATTATTTTTGGAATATGCTAAATCAATACAATGAATAGGCCAGGCATGGTGGCTCATGCCTGTAATCCCAGCACTTTGGGAGGCCGAGGCGGGTGGATCACTTGAGGTCAGGAGTTCAAGACCACTCTGGCCAACATGGTGAAAGCCCATCTCTACTAAAATACAAAAATTAGCTGGGTATGGTGGTGTGCACCTGTAATCCCAGCTACTTGGGAGGCTGAGGCGGGAGGACTGCTTGAACCCAGGAGGCAGAGGTTTCAGTGAGCTGAGATAAACCACTGCACTTCAGCCTGGACGACAGAGTTAGACTGTCTCAAAAAAGAAAAAAAAAGGAATAATTCATATCATCAAAGGAAGACAAGTTACAAAGCATGCTTTAAAAGTACTTTGCACTATTGTTACTCTGATGCTCTGATAACAACTCGAGTTCTTAGGAAACTCAACACACTCTTTAGATATAAATTCACTTATACCTGAATGTGCTTACTAAATGCAAAACTTTGTGCTAGATTAAGGAAAGATTCCTGGACACAGGAATTGATGCAAGCAATCTTAAATTAATTGAAAATTTTAGAACTATTAATCGCATACTTAGTATACAGCTACTTATTACAGAAAGTTAGTTTCAAAAATTCGTCAATGCAAACATGACAACTTTTGTATTCTATAAAACAGAAAAAAACTGCCAGGTGCAGTGGCTCAAGCCTTTAATCTCAGCACTTTGGGAGGCCAAGACAGGCAGATCACTTGAGGTCAGGAATTTGAGATCAGCCTGGCCAACACAGTGACACCCAGTCTCTACTAAAAAAATACAAAAATGAGCCATGTATGGTTGCACATGCCTGTAATCCCAGCTACTCAGGAGGCTGAGGCAGGAGAATTGCCTGAACCTGGCAGGTGGAGGTTGCTGTAAGCTGAGATCGTGCCATCCAGCCTAGGTGACAGAAAGAGACTCTGGCTTGGAAAAACAAAACAAAACAGAAAAAACTGTAAAACCTGTGGATGAATACATTAAAATGTCATTTATAAAGAAAACTGCAAGAAACACACATATAAAGCACAAATATAGCAAGAGGCTTTGATAAGAAAAAAATCCGCTTTAGAATGTGTTAATTTAGCCAAAATGTATGGAATTTATGGAAGAAACTTCATATGTGCTTTGTACCTATATAAAATCACTTTTGAACTAAATTTGAGTTAACAAATCTCTCTATTCTCATTCAGTTACAATTGTTTTCAGTATGCAACCACTGTCTTGATATTAAACAAATATCTTGTATAAAAATAAATATAAAATTTGTATACCTCAACTGAGGTCCTTTGGTCTAATTGTTACCATGAATAAGAGCACCATCCTGTCCAGATAAGGTTAGATCATATTTTTTAAAAAAAGCACCATTCTGCAGGGCAAGGTAGACCAGCCTGGGCAACATAGTGAAACCCCATGTAAATTAAAAACAAACAAACAAAAAAAACAAGAGCACGAACCCCAACTATGGCAGAGCTGCTAAAGGTGTCTCTTGTGGAGACTTGAACCACAAGCCAAGGAGTCAAAGGTAAAAAGTCTCTCCTGGAATTAATTCCTGAACTTCTGGGCAGCCTTCCCCCTTTCTACTATGTCTTCACCACTCCCCCACAAGCAGCTTTCTTTCTCTTGCATCTCTTCTATGCTGTGGCTTTTGATACTACAATATATTTAAATTTTTTCCCAACAGAGCTTTCCTGCCTGACACCCACCGGGAAAGATTTCAGGACATCTCTTTAACAACTAATCTTGTTCAAAGACGAAGGTATCCTTCGTTTCACTTAATTCAAACCCCCACTGTTCAGAACAAGAATATAATTATAACCTCAATTTCTATCAGGCCAGTATAGGAAAAGAACTACCACAGGCTCTCTCTTCCACGTTTTTTATCTCCAGACTTTTTTCCTCACTTCGTTTCTCCTTCCTTATTTCCCTCCTTAATCCCTCCTTCCCCGAAAAAATAATTCCACAGCTGGAGAATCTCATTTTTAAAGCCAAAAATTCAGTGAGGAAAATAAGTATGTGCCTTTTTCTTCAATTATTTATTATTCCTCCGTCACTCGGGAAGAGTTAAGCAAGTATTTTTTAATCTGACCGCCCTCACAGAAGGATGATGCGCTAAATAACACACTGAATTACGTCTTACCGAAGCAAGTGGATTCGCGGCTAAAAGCAACACGGTGGGAGTGAGGGGTCCGGGGAGAAGAAAAAGGATCCTTGGCCCCCAGAGCCAGAGATGGGACAGGAGGTGAAAGAAGGGGCCATCACTAAGAAGTACAACACACACACTTGCCAGAACGAACAATCTGCCGAGAGAATAGGACTGGCCACTGCGACTCCAGCCCGGTCCCGCGGGACAAGGCAGGAGGGCGAAGGGGGAGGGGGATGCCTGCCCTTCTTCTGTGGGACAAAACTAACTCCCAGGCGCACCTCCGCTCCCGACAAGAGGGGCCTGGTGGGGACGCGGGATCCTCCCACCTCCAGCGCAGCACTTGCCCACGGCCTGGGTGGAAGGAAGGCCCAGAGGGAGGGGAGTCGGGCTGGGCAGCGCCAAGAGCACGGGATGGAGGGTCAGAAGCGGGCACCCGAGGCACTGGGGGCCGCCACCAGGGACCCTTCCAGCACCGGAACCCCGGGGCCCCTCTCCACCCTTGCAGAGCAGGATCCCGAATATCATCCCCAGCCGCCCCAACCGCTCCTCACCTCACACTGCCTGAGCCTCTGCCTCTACCACAACCTGAGCCGCCGAAGCCGCCACAATCCGAGCCATTTTTCCTCTCAGCTGGCTCAGCCGCCGCCAAAAGCTTCGGCGGACTCCACAGCCAGCCAAGCGCCGCACGTCACTTCCGGTCAGGGAAGCACCGCCTTCCCCGCCCAAGCTTGTTGTGGATTGGCTAACGCAGACGACCTACCTGAGCTGGCGGGCGGGGCTTGGACGACCCGTGGGACGTGAAGTGGGGCGCTGGGGAGCTGGGGCGTAAGGGCCCTGGGGTCTGGCAGCCGGCTCCCTCCCGGGAATGCTGAGCGGGTTCTAGGCGTCTCTCTGTGCGGACCCCAGACCCGGGGAAAGGAGCGCCCCGGATACCCCAGCTGGCTGCCTCTCTGTCTCGGCGTCCGAAGCCCAGCCAACCCGGCCGGGACACTGAAGTACCCTATTGTTCTCCTCCCCTTTCCCGGGACTCCGCACCCTCCTCCATCTAGGTTGAGGTTCCCAGATTTGTGGCTTGGCCCCAGGGGGCGCCGAGATTACTTTTTGTTTGGAAGACTGAAAGGAACAGGCAATGCAGAAACTCGTCCACTCTAGCCAGCATTTACCGAAGCCTCACGGTAGGTCAGGTGGTGCAGGGTGGGTAATTAGTAGCCTATCACGTGGGTTGTGTAAAATGCTTGATACCACGTAAAACGCTTTTAGGTCAGCGTCTCATTTCATCCTCACAACAACCAGGTATGGAAAATATCCCCATGATAATAACTCACAGCCAGACGGCTCCTTCTACATTACAAAGTATTTTCACATACAATCTCCATGATGATACCTTCATACTGAGAACTGAATGAGATTATGCTTGTAAAGCATTTGGTCCTCATGTATTAGATTTAAAAATTACATAACCGGCCGGGTACGGTGGCTCACGCCTGTAATACCAGCGCTTTGGGAGGCCAGGGCGGGCGGATCACAAGGTCAGGAATTAGAGACCAGCCTGGCCGACATGGTGAAACCTCTGTCTCTACTAAAAAAATATATATATGCAAAAATTAGCCAGGTATGATGGTGTGCGCCTGTAATCCCAGCTACTTGGGAGGCTGAGGCAGCAGAATTGCTTGAACCCGGGAGGCAGTGGTTGCAGTGAGCCGAGATCCGGCACTGCACTCCAGCCTGGGCAACAGAGGAAGAATCCATCTCAAAAAAAAAAAAAAAAAATTACATAACCATGGGTAGCAGATAGGAAAATTACCCCCATCTTTGTTACTGCTGAGATGCTCTTTGTGCCCTTAACATCTTTGTGTTAAGGGCAGAAGAACGATTCCTAAGACTGTCCTTTAAGCAGTAGGAGAAGGGGGTACCCACCATCCAGACGTTCACAATCTAATGTGACAGACTTAGGCTGCAATTCTCAGGCTAAACAAAAAGTTATCAGCCTATATGTATACACACATAATGAGAAGGCTCTAAGAGAAGTTGGAACTTCAGCAAATAATGGGAAAGAAAGAAATTGGTCTCATTTGGCTCGGAGGGGGTGTTGGAGAAAGGGGGCTAGGGCAGTGAGGAATGTGGAGTGGATGAATCCCTCATAGTGCTGTAGTAAATATGCCTACACCTCCCCAGGAGTGGGAAGATTGGATGAAGTTTCTATTCTATGGGGAATTCTAGAAGCAAATATGTGATTATTTGTTATGGCTGTAGCTACCGGCTCTTATACACACACACCCTCTTCTTACTCCTAGCTTTCCCCCCAACCCCTCCCCACCTCCATGCACACACATTTCCAGGCAGGCTACACACTCTAGAAGAATGTCCCTTAGAAATCCACTTAGTTCCGTAGCATTGTTCTGCTTTATCTTCTGATCACAGGAGGAATTTCTAAAATTGGCAGCTGTTTCACAAGGTCAAAAAGGGGTGGGGAAAGTGACTTATCTCAGGGTAGCTTCCTACCTTCTGCTCCAGAACTGAGTGTGCCTTCAGAAAAGAAGGAAGAGGCCTTGGGAGAACACAGTCTTCAGGGAAAAGTAACTATTTGTCTCTCTTTCTTTTCTTTTCTTCCTTTCTTTTCTTTCTTCCTTTCTTTCTCTTTCCTCCTTTCTTTTTTTTGATCCAGGGAGACAGACTGAATTTTTTTTTCTATTTTTTTTTTTTTTTGAATGAAAAATATTTCCGCTGAGTCCCAGCAGCAGAGGGCCCTTGTCCTTGAGTCCCTTCCTTGTTGCAGCCCTGACTTCATTATTTTATTATAGCTTTTGGATGGCCGTTACATGGTAGGCTCTGATCAGCTAAAAGGTTCTCAATAAGGTGAAGAGAATGAAAAGGAGTTTGATGGTTTTCCAGATTCAAAAAAAAAGCAGCTTTCATGAGTTGCCAGTGTCAAAAACCTGAACAGGTAGCCCTCTCTTAGCATATGTCATCTGTCAGCAATGGCTTGTGATGATGCATGTGTAAACACTAGGAACACAGGCTTCTGGGAGACTAACTGGTGCTGCTGTCATTTGGAACCAGCTAGAACACAACTGGCAACCATTTCTCCTCTACTGGCTTCACTTTTAAGTCCTAAAGTGGAAAATAGGATTGAGGAAGAGGCCTTACTTTTTTTTTTTTTAAGAGAGTGTTTTTTCTCCTGGACCATTATAAATAAATAAATAAATAAATAAAGACAATGTTTTGCTCTTGTTGCCCAGGCTGGAGTACAATGGCGCCATCTCGGCTCACCACAACCTCTGCCTCCCAGGTTCAAGCAATTCTCCTACCTCAGCCTCCCAAGTGGCTGGGATTACAGACATGCGCCACCATGCCTGGCTAATTTTTGTATTTTTAGTAGAGACAGGGGTTTTCCATGTTGGTCAGGATGGTCTGGAACTCCTGACCTCAGGTGATCCACCCTCCTTGGCCTCCCAAAGTGGTGGGATTACAGGTGGAGGCCTTACATTTTTAAGTGTTTCAATCATAACTTCCCACAGACAACTTCCCAGTACCACAAATATTCTCCAGCCTCTTCCAGTACCACATGAGAAATGGGCAATCTGTTTTTGGTTTTGTTTTTTAACCACGGATAAAATATAGTGGCTTATGATGATTGAGCATTTGCTAAGGCCATGTCCTGTTCTTAGTGTTTTATGAGTATTATCTCATTGATTTCCTCCAACAGCCTTCATAAAAGGTATAATTATTATATCCTAATTTTATAGCTGAGAAATTTGAGGAATAGAGAGGAAAGTAACTTGCCCAATGTCACACTAAGTAGTAGAGCTGGGATCCAATACTGGGTCTGCCTGCACAACCATGCTCTTTTAATCTCACAGTTCCCCCAACAGGGCAAGGAGATTTTAACATCTACAAAAGGTCATGAATGAGTGTAATAGGTTTCTCTTTCCTTCCCCAGTGCTATATCCCCACCCAAGTAGGACTCTGCTGGGTACTATACCAAACTATTCATTTATTTATTGATTGATGTTTTTTGAGACAGAGTTTGTCTCTGTTGCCTAGCCTAGAGTTCAGTAGAGCAATCTCGGCTCACTACAATCCATCTCCTGAGTTCAAACATCCAGAGTAGCTGGGATTACAGGTGCACACCATCACACCTGGCTAATTTTTTCCGTTTTTAGTAGAGATGGAGTTTCACCATATTGGTCTGGAACTCCTGGCCTCAAGCGATTCTCCCATCTCAACCTCCCAAAGTGCTGGGATTATAGGCATGAGCCTAGCCCCAATTATTTAATCCCAATTATGATAAGTAGTTTGAAGGAAAACTACAGTGTTCTTTGATTTAGAATAGAGGGCAGGAAGGCCTTCCCTGAGAAAGTGACATTGAGCTGAGATTTAAAGGATAAGTAGAAATTCAGGATGGGGGGAAAAACCATACCAGGCAGAGGGAACAGTGTGTGCAAAGACACTGAGAAAGGAGCATGGCTCAGCTAAGGAACTGAGAGGCCAGTGTTGTTGTTATACTGAAAAGAAGGAGGAAGTATCTTTGTTATTAAAAAAATCTTTTTCTAGACACGGGATCTCACTATGTAGCCCAGGCTAGTCCCAAACTCCCAGCCTCAAGCAATCCTCCTGCCTGCCTCAGCCTCCCAAAGTGCTAGGATTATAGGGGGGTGTGTCTGTGTCTGGCCAGAAGCATCTTGGGTACTGTAGTGAGACAGGAAGATAATGCCAGGCCTGGGAAGCTGTATTAAGAATTTAGGTCTTTATCTTAAGAATGAAGAGAATGATTTTAAGCCTTCAAATGTTCAAAGTTGCATTTTTATAAGATTTCAAAGAACTAGGAAGAGAAAGAATTAGAAGGTTCTAGAGAATTTGGGTAGCCCAGTCTGGAGTTTGTTGCAACTATGTAGGGAAATGATGATGATGCCTTGAACTTTCAATAACACACAATAATTGTGTGGCTGGGCATGGTGGCTCACGTCTATAATCTCAGCACTTTGAGAGGCCAAGGCGGGTGGATCACCTGAGGTCAGGAGTTCAAGACCAGCCTAGCCAACATGGTGAAACCCCATCTCTACTAAAAATACAAAATTAGCCAGGGGTGGTGGCACATACCTTTAATCCCAGCTACCCTGGAACCTGAGGAAGGAGAATCACTTGAACCCAGTAGATGGAGGTTGCAGCGAGTCAAGATCGAGGCATTACACTCTAGCCTGGGCAAAAAGAGCAAGACTCCGTCAAAAAACAAACAACAACAACAGCAACAAAACCCGATAAATGTGAAGCTGACTGAGCCAGGGTTCCTGTCCTTAGAGACAGTCCAGTAGGGGGAAGCAACTGAGAAATAAAATAGTATATTGTGCTATGAGCATTACTAGAAGTAATTCCAAATAACTCTGGAAGCTCGGAGAAAAGATAGAGGGAAGATGGAAGGTATATTAGTTATCTCCTGCTGCATATCAAATTA